TATAAGGCTGGCTTCATTTTGTTGTTTAATCAATAAATCTGCAATTTTTCATTTAGAATCCCCACAAAGACCACAAATGAGGTTCATATTAATGCTTGTTCTTTAATGGTGTCATATCACATTGCTAAGGCACATATATCAAAATTTTAATCATCATAGAGAATTAATGAGTTAGATACGGAGGTATAACATTAGTTTCTCATATTCTCATCTTCATCCTTAATAATTATCTTAGCTTCTCAAATTTGATTCAATTTTTTGCATCCTGTACTAATTTTTTTCTTCCTCATTCCTCTTTTTGAAGGTTCTTGTTGATTTTTGCCTTTTTGTGCACCATTTTCACCATCTTCATATGAATAAATCCCGTTTGTTCAATCATCCGACTCAAAATTCTTTGCCTCGATAATCGCAGGTATTGCCTCACGAACCCGAATTGACATGGAACCTTCTACTAACATCACCGAGACGACCACCAAGACCACGCCAATTTCCGATCACGAAACCACCAAACTCGCAAACCTAAAGGCGCACGCCCATTCTAATCCTCCACCGTTAATCGTTCCCAAAATCACGCTCCACCCCAATATTAATAACCCTCGACAAAAGCATCTAACTCGCTCCTCCTCCACCAACTCGTCCCCCGACTCCCCACTCGACGACGACCCTTTCAACGACTCGGATGACGACAACTCGAGCACAAATTCCTTCTCCCCTCGTGCCCACAAACCCAATAACACCTTACCACCACCCAACACCAGCATCGATCTTAACAACAACAACAGCAACAACAAAAACTCATCAGCAACGACAACAACAGACGTGTCTTGCAATCAGGCAACGACCGACACTGATGCGGGGCCCGCGTACCGAGCCAAATCACCACCCAATATCAGCATCGATCACAACAGCAGCAGCAGCAGCAACAACGATAAAAACTCGTCATCATCAGCGACGACAACAGAGGTGCCGTGCAATCAGGCGATGGAGCGCGGCGCGGGGCCCGCGCACCGAATTCCGTCGTCGGTGTTCGCCCGGACCACGTCGTCGGGCGCGGGCGCCGACTGGAGTGTGGCGTCGAACGAGTCGTTGTTCAGCATCCACGGGGCGAGCTTCCGGAACAGCCATGTAATCGGGCAGTCGGGGGAGCTGGCGGGAGGGCCCACGGAGAGGGAGTTGATTTTGTCGGACCACATATTCAGCTACCCGGTGCGGCAGCCGAGGTGCACGGAGGCGATGAGGAGTCGGGAGCTCGGGCGAGCAGAGGCCACCATGAAGGAGGTGATTCAGGAGAGCGAGTCCCACCAGCATTACGTGGCTACCTTGGCCGAGACATCGAAGACCACGCGGACCAGCACCAAGTCTTTTGCCTTTTCAATGTGAGATTTTTGTTATTATTGTTATATTAGCTAATGTTTCCGCCGTAACTTATCAAACTCGAAAATTTAATTATAAGCTATCAACTAATTTATTAATTATTATAATTAAGTTTTACTAGACATATTTATAATTTAATTATAAACTATCAGCTAATTAATTTATCAACTATTAACTAAGTTTTACTAGGCATAGTTTATAAGTAAAGTAAAATTTAGAGAGTATTTAATATCATTTAAGTCCCAATATCATTTAATAAATGAGTGATTTAATAAGTTTTTTATGCAATTACTTGAAGAATTTAGTTCACATATGAGTTAATTATTAATTGGTCCAATAATATATGTAACGTTTAAAATTTGGAGATTTTATGGCGCTGAGGTAACATTTTCTGAGAAAAAAATAACTATATCTGCAATAGCATATAATAGTTTTTTTTTTTTTAAATAATTATCTGGTTCCATGACTAAAATACAAAAAAATAATGTTTTGCATATGATATTTTTTGAAAAAGATTTTGCCTCGTTCAGAAAATAAATAACAAAACGAAAAATATTTGTATTTTTTAGTTATAAATTAATTGAGATAAGATTTAATGATTAAAGTTAATATAATATAAAAAATAAAATATTTATTAATAGTGATTGATAGTTGGAAATATGTAGGTAATTAGCACTACAAAAAGATTGTCACATTCTAATGTAAAATTCAACAGTAATATATTCCAATAAAAATTTCAACGAATATTCAAATAATATAACTTTTATTGGAATGATTCCAACAAAGATCCCAACAAAAATATACCATCAAAATAAGTTTTCTATTGGAATTTTTGTTTGAATTTGATAATTCCAACGACCATTTTTTCAACTGGTTATTACCGTGATAATTTCCATTGGAATATGCAATTGTTTTTTGGAATTTTTATTTTTGTCCACATTTAAACCGTTGGAATTGTCAAAATTCAATGGTAAATACAATGAAAAACTCATTCCAACGGAATATTTTCGTTGGAATTCTGGTTGGAATCCATAAAAAATTTCAACAGAAATAATAGCATTGTAATATCCATTGGAATTACATTGGAATATATTTTCGTTGGAATTTTCCATTGAAATTTCATCATTTTTCTATATAACGTAGATATTAATTTCATTAAAATAATATACAATAATGGTCTTCTTTTATTTTTAGTTTTGTTGGTAATATTACGCGATGAGTTGTACTTCTTGTGAAAACCTTTTTGTTTCATTTTTATTACGAAAATGATAAATTTTGTCAAGCCAAAAACAAAATCTTATATCCAACGTCAAACTAATACCAATTCAAGTCATTTTACGAATAAAATGTGACAAATTAACCAACCAACAAACTAAGTTACGTTACACCATTATTAAAAATAAAAAAATAATACCAAATCACATCGTTTGCTAATTGTGAGGTATTAAGACCGCAAAACAAACGTTTTGATCAGAAAAGCAGGGGACTCGCCAAAAGATGCCTCGTCCGTGCCAGAGGCTCACGTGCGATGCCAATCGCAAATGGTGCTACCAAAGGCGGACGATCGGTCGGCCCCACAACCGTCGACAAATAGTGACCCGAAAGCTAATCCGGCACCACCACCAAGTTTGGCTCGCACGAGATGGCCCTCTTGCTTTTCCTGCTGCTCAATTTGGTGAACTAGTTTGAGTGTGTTTAGTGCGAGAAATTGTGGACAAAATTGTACAATTTTTAAAAGAAAAAAAAGGAAGAGAAAATCTATGTTAGTGAAAATATTTTGTGTACTGACATTTGTTAATACAGTGTTAATAATTTGCAAATATTGAAAGGAAAGAGTGATGAATAACATTTATTATACACAAGTTTTCTCTTGAGATTTTGTTGTACATTGCAACAAAGTTGAGTCAGGTGGGATTGGATATATAATTTTTTTGAAACAGTAAATATTATTGCTCACAAATAAACAAGTACATACTTAACGAGGGCCAAGTATCCAACTACAACTATCACAATGATAGACTCAGAGCAGCAGTAAACTTGAGTGCTCTACACAAAAGAAACTAGCAGCAAGGATTGAAAATCCAGTCGCCGACAAAGATAAAAGGCTATTGAGACGGTACTTGATGATCAATAAACTATATCCGGAAGAGCAAACCCAATTTATTGGCCAACTAGGCCAAACGAACCTGATGGTCGAACAGAGTCTGAGGAGGGCCGAACGAAAGTCGAAAACAAGTAGGAGTCTTTAGATCGAAGAAGACATGAGGGGTTCGAAGGACCAATAACAGGTCGAGTTGGGGCCGTCGGACGGCTTGCTGGAAACTCGACGTGAAGGTACAATTGGTCAAGCGATGGACCAGAAGGACAACACTTAGGCTTGGTACATTGATTAGGGAAGCGTACAAATGAGAAGGATAAACATAAAACTCACCATCAATTCATTTTTTTATTCAATAAACTCCCCTAATAACAAAGCACAAAGCTCTTTAAATAAAACTCTTAAACTAAACTCTAGCTTATTCCCCAAGCTAACTAATAATAATAATAATAATAATAATAATAATAATAATAATAATAATAATAATAATAATAATAATAATAATTTTACATCATTCTCCCCCGGTTGAGCAAGATTCGCTCTCAAATCCGACCTGTTTCCGTTGGAGACGTCCTCGTGACAGGAATAGCCCGACATTTCCGCCGATCGCACATGAAGGTTTAAGATCGCCCAATAACCCCGATGGTAAACATAATCTTGGGCAAGTACTGAAACGGTACAAAGGCACATGTACACGCCTCCAAAAGCATAACCCACACAACGGAATTAGCACTAAACATACCACATCGTTCCCCGCGCTCAAATCCATAACTACGGCCAAACATCCCGTTGTTGGGAGACTTCGCGATAGACAATCGAAAAATGATCAACCCGTTATTGAGTCTCGGCTTCGGATCTGAAAAACCATCTTTGGTCAAGATACTCCGAAAATTGGGTATGAACGACGACTTCCCATTCGAATGCTCAACCTCTGCGACATTCCACGCGAGACCCATATTGTTGCAAAAAGATGTCTTTGTCACCGAAGGCTCCACATAAAAATCAGTGGACCATCGTACAATGTCCCGTCATCTTGCTCTTCATCGAATTCGAGAATGTCCACGCAAAACGGGACCCTCCCATCGACCAATCTCGCTACCTAATTCTCTCTGCACAAGCCTAATTTCTGCATCTCCTTCACATGCCCAAAATCCGCGTCCAAAGTCTACAGGCCCAAAGTCCTCAGCCCTCAGTACATGTATCGGACCTCTGGAAAATCCAAAAAATTGAGGACTTCCGTACCCATCCTAGCCTGCAGTAGCCCGACAAAAATCACCATCTCGGGCTTCGTGTGACCCTCCACCTGCAGCAGTCTGCTAGAAATCGCTGTCTAGGGCTGCGATTGGGCAGAAATTGGTAATCAAAACCCTCCTCAGGCTGCCGCTGACTGCTACTACCCTCCGCCTCCCGATTATGAAGAGACATCTCCACCCGAGACGACTCGAGAAGCTTCTCGAGCCAATTTAGACGAGATTATGGAGCATTTAGAGGAGTGTAATCGATCCCTTCGGTCTTCAATGGCTTCCATATCCGAAAAAGAAGAAACCGAGTCCTTTGCTCCATCCTCATACGAGCACCTATCGGTTGGCCAACCTTGTACATCGAGGGCCGAAGCTTCATTTTCGACAAGGGTTGAGCCTACCGAACGTCACCAAGAAGTTTTGACGAGCACTCAAGAGGCACTTGCAAGCCTTATGTTGACCATTGAGGAGTTCCATAGTTGGAGGAGTATTCTTATTCCATCCGTTCTCCAAGTCACACTCACAAAGTTCGACTCAACCATGGTCTCTTTTATTGATTTGGACGCCTCTTACATTCCGCTTGGTAGATATTGTTCTCTATCGGCAAGGATAATTGGGGAGAGTACTCGGTTAAAGGGCGAATTTCGAGCTATGGTGGATTGGTTCACTTCCTTGAAAGAGATGGGCCTCACTCTCGTTTATGACGGAACTAAATCTCTCGACACGAGTGACGACATCGATGATTTGATTGCTAAGAAAATATCCTCTCTTGACGGCCCTGACTTGCATTCTACATTAGGTACGTCAAACCTTTCTTCCGGTGATTGTGCTTTGAGTTCGATTTCAATAGTTGATAGTGAGCATATTGAGTCGGGTGTTGAAATGGTGTATGGCATGGGTGATAATTCATTTGGGTAGTTGATTGTGCCTATTCATGATTTTGGTGATTTTAGCGGACTTGATAGTGCTTGGGAGGATGATTTTGAGGAGGAGGATGAGTTTGAGCATGATGTTGTAGATGGAGTTGAGGAGAACTGTGAGCCGGTGTGTGATGTCGTGGACCCAAAGGGGGCGCTGATTGATGATTTGACCCTTGATGTTGAGTATGAAGTGGTCTCTATGCCTTTCGGGTCGTCGTTTCGTGTTGTTGGGGATCGTGACCACTTGGAGGAGTTTAGTACGTTCACACCCATGCTCCCGACTCTTGAGATCGTTGAGTACACATCCGAGATGATGCTTATGATGACCGGGATTGATTCGACGTGCTCCACGGACATTTTCATACTTCCGGAGGTCGATTATGCGGCTAAGGTTCATAATGAGTTATCTCTTCTCTTGGTGGTTGTCGATATCCGTACTCGGTTTCACAAGAATGAGGGCACGAGATTTTATTGGGCCCGCCTTTGCTCTATTCTCCCAGCCCGTCTACTTTTGGAGAACACAAAGGCGTGACATGATCTTCATTTCTAAAGATCACAATTTAAAAATATATTAAAGCAAGATTCGAATTCTAAAGCAAACAAGTCCTCAAATTACACGAAAAAGAAAAATAGAGAGAAAAATAACAAGGTACCCTAGACCCGAGATGGAAAGAAGGCACTCTAGATTTGGGAACATGTAATCAAGCAATCGTCACTCGTGATCAACCAATCGATCTCTCAATCAATTCTCACTCATGCAATTAAGTAACGCAATCAATAACACAATCACATAATCCCTAGCTTACGAGGATGATAGTATAATCGACTCATGGAAGCTCTTATCTTAACCCTAGAAAAATCTATAAGTAAAGACAAGCAAGAATTACGAGATCCTAGACCTTCAACTAAGTCTCCAATCGGACCTTAAACGAAGACTCCAAGTCTCTAGTGCATCCACGAGAAGAAATAAGCCGAAAAGTTGTAATCTTGATGGAGAAATATTACAATAAAAATAGGGTCTTAGAGCCCTTAGAGAGAGAAAGAAAACTAGAGAGAAGGAGGAGATAAAAACTAAAAGGAAAATTTTAGCAAATGAGGAATTGTTTTCAAATTGCAAAGCATCAAGTCTATTTATAGCTACACCTCAAACACACACTAAAACATACACATTTAATGAGGCAAACTCACAGGTAAGCTCGAACTTGCGAGTTTTGGCTCGGATTTCACGAGCTCGGTCCGCGGGCTAGGCAGGCATGGGCGCTAGACTCGCGGCTTTGGGGAGCTTCGCGGGCGCGAGCGACAGGATTCGCGAGCAGGCACTAAGGGCAGGCTGGCGGCACTCGCGGGAGAGAAGAGCTTCGCGCGCGCGAAGTGGAGAAACTCGCGAGGGTGGACTCGCGGGCTACTGGAATTTCACGGGCGCAGCTTGAAGAACTCGCAAGCGGCGCTGGCAACACATCTGGGAACTCGCGGGCGGCATCTGTTTCGCGGGCACGGGGTGAGAAGACTCGCGACTGAAGCAGAGTGGGTGCGGCCCGAGGCCTGGGCAAACTCGCGGGCTACTGGAATTTCGCGGGCGCGCAGCACTGGGAGGAACTCGCGGACACAGGGCCGTTCGCGGGCACGAGTTTTGGAACTCGCGGCCAGGCACTGAGGACGCGGCACTCGCGGGCTGGCTGGATGTTCGCGCGCGCGGGTTCGAGGCGCTGGAATTGTCCGGTGACCCCTTGTCGCTCGATTTGCTCTAACTTTTCACCCGCTTCTCCGATTGACTCGAAATTTCGACCCACGCTCCTCAAATATTTTTCTCCTCGTCTTGGAATGCTCAAATCGATATCACCACGCAATTAGTAAATATGCTCGAAAATAGTTCGCGTGGCTCGGACATGATTCAGACGACTCGGAAATGTCTCGAAAATGGTTCGTAATCCCAAATTCAACTATTGTGGACCTACACAACACCAAAAAGATAAGAAAAATACGCCGAACCACAAAAACACAATACGGGAATAAAAATGCACAAAACACGATAAAATGGACCGTTCGACACTAAAGCGGACCTAAAAATACTAAACTCAAGCACATAAAATACACGAAAATAAGCACAAAAACACAATAAACAATGAGCAAATCGTATAAGTGTAAATATAAATAATTATGCAATTTTTAAAATTATTTAAACTTTAAATAGAAAAAATTCCCTCATACATTTTTTTTAAGAATTTCACTATAAATTTTTCTAGTATTAGAAAGAGTTTTAGTACATGCTCATTTGTCTTAGACAAATGATGGCCTAAATAAAATCCTATTATTATATTTTAAATGATCTATATAATTCTCTACCATAAACCAATGGCTCAAGTGGTGAATTTTTTTTAAGATTTTTTACCACAACAAATCTCCATGGTATCTATAAAATAACTATATAATCATTATGGTACTAGCTTTTTTTCTCTTAATTCTCTTCGCTACTTCACACTTTATCTGTCAGTCTAAGAAAAATAAATATGTCTGCACCCCCTATTGCTTTTACAATTTGAGTCAACTTCCCATTACTAAAATATTATAATTTCAAAAACATTAAAAAATAAAAGACAAATGTTATTTGAGTTCCTAGTCAGAGAAAACTATTTGTCTCTCATATACCACATTAAAAAATGTCTCTACAAAATTGAAAAATTCCTCAGAAATTACAAATGCCACTATTTTTAAATTGAAAAATGTTTTTACAAATGTCTTCAGAAATTACGTCTTGTTGGAATCGCCCCGATGCCAGAGGTATTGACGTGGTATCGTCTTCACATTTAATAGTTAAAAAATTTATCAAAATGCCACTGCATTACAGTATTCACCATAACATTTTAACGAAATGCACATTAATACATAAGAAAATGTACAATTTGGAAATATCATATTTTGCCAAATGACAAAAATGTTACTGCGTGACAAAATAATTATAGAATGTCACACGTTTCACCAAAATTGAAGCGTTTTGACGGAATTTGGATTGTTAATATATCCAACAACTGTAATTTATTATTATTTCATTCATTATATGTGATTATAATTAGATCATATTCCTTTATGTATAGATAGATATATATAAAATCTATGTGCAAAATAATCTATACATATTATTCATATAATAAACTACAAACATTGAATACCGATTTGCAAAATAAAATAACAAACTGTCGGTGGCCGATCAAAATTATCATNAATAAGCCCGAAAAAAAAAAAAAAACTTTTAAATTAGAAAACAAGTAAACTAGTTAATAATATAGTACTTAATATAATTGAAAAGCAGTTATTTTTTTTGGTACACAAAAGGAGGCTAAATTAAAGCCTAAGGACCATAAGATAGGTATGTTCCGTGGATACGCCACGCCAACAAGGTCGTGTTGTAACCACGGTTGAACAACTGATTTAAAACATCAAACGAACATGATATGTGAAATATCTCACAAAACAAGTGGCGAAATTTGATATGTTGTTTCAATAACGGTAATGACTATATTAATTATTCTTGGATGAACTGCATCCTTATTATTGTGGTTGTTTTTGTTTTTAATTACCACACTTTGTATTGGGCACAAAAGATAGTTTCTCGTTACCAAGATCATAAATCACCAATGTGTTCTGCTGCTGAAAATTGCCAAGAATGGAGAAGTCCATATCAGTAGCAGCCATCATCAAGCACCCGATCCCCTTTTCAACAACAAAGAAGTATTTTTGCCATGGCAACTCCAGGGCTGCCCCCTTGAATTCAAACACGATCTTTGGAAACTGAATTCCGGCCTCCATTTTGCCTCTCGGGAGTTTGTAGCAGAATTCCAAGTCCGAGGAGCTGCTGTTGGTCCATGGAAGTCCGATTTGGGCCATTTGGCTTGTGAGTTCCTGCCCGACGGCCTCGAACGTGCTATTGTCGAGATTAGTGATGGTTGTTCCCGAGTCGATGATAAGACCCCCCGACCCATCCTTTCCCACTTGGAACGCGGAGGAGTTGATGGTGACGGGGACCCCATTGATGCTGATCCCCTGTAGTTGGAGATAATAAAAGCCCCCGTAGTAACTGCCTGGGTACCTGAGAAGCTGCGTGGTGAGTGCGCCATGGGGCGCCGCGGCCCCGGAACCCATAAAGAGACGACCGGTTTTTTTTTTTGAGCCGAATAGGGGCAGACAGTAGGAGAACACGCGCTCGTCGAGTTGGGAGACGATGCTGTCGTTCCATCGGCCCAGGCCCAAGTTCCCCACGCCTCCATTTGGCATATTTCCCTGAGTGTGAAATCCGCAGCCGAATAGGACTCCGGGGACGGGGACGGGGACCGTGTCGGCCTCAAACCAGAAGGTCTCGGTGGCCAGGTTGCCTCCGGTCCCGCTGCCATCTCCGTACGTCAGGTTGAACGCGCACTCGGTGCCACACGCACGTTTATCGCAGACATTGGGAGTGTACAGTTTGCATTTCTTGTTGGGGCATTTTAATGCAACGTACGAGGTGGATTTGCTGGGATTGAATAAGGGAGTCGGCTGTGCGGAGCAGTTGTGGCAGGATGCGCATTGGGTCCACGTTAGGCCACCGCCCGTGTCGAGTATGGCCGGGACAGATACCCCGGGAGTGCCGATGGAGAGATATGCTAAATACGCGCCATCGCCACTGTAGCGAATGGGGGCTCCAACGTTAATATTGGGTCTGGCGGCTTGTTGGAGCCATTGCAGCCTCTTCCTGGTACGGTCTAGAGCCAGACGCAAGAGCTCGGTTTTGGTGAGATGTTTGTCGTGATCCACGTGCCAAACCGTAGTGTTAAAGTTCAACTCCATTGTTTTTGTTCTTGTTGGGGAAGCTAATATTAATAATGAAGCTAGAATATTGAGGGCGGTTACAAGTAAATTTGTTGTTAAGTATGTCATTTTGGAGATTGGGAAGCTTGGTGATGATAGATCTGATGGTTTTTAACTTTTAATTTCTCTAGTATGATAATGTTTTGTGGAACGAATGAGTAAATTGGGGGTTATGTGGTGAAGAAAAACTCTCCATTGTCGTTGTATATATAGCCAGGTGTGAAGCTAGACCCACAAAAACTTTATCTTGTCAATTTTAGGTCTGGATTATATAAATTTTTTCTTTAAGAAAAAAATTATTTTTCACACAATGGTTTGATTTAGAAGACAACAAAAAGTAATGTATAGGCAGGTGTGAAGTTAGACCCAAGAAAACTTTGTCTTGTCATTTTTAAGTAGGGATTAATAATTAAAATTTTCTTTTAAGATTAATAAAGTTACTTTTGACTTTGAGAATTATTTTTTTATTTAAAAATAAGAAAGGTCGACCAAAATAAAAAGCACGTATTCTGTGAATACGTTTTTTATTGAAAAATGTATTCATGTAATACATTTTTAATAATAAAACGTATTTCGAGAATACTGTTTAGTTTAAAATAATTAATTAATGCATTTAACGTAATTAAGTTAATTAAAATATCCAAAAACTGTATATCTGAAATATGTTTTAAAGTAAAAAAAAAAACAAAACGTATTATTGAAATACGTTTTATAATAAAAGTTAATTTTGAAATTATGTTTTAATTATCAAACGGATTCTTGAAATACGTTTTATAAATAAAATTAATTTTACAATTCTTAAAAATAATTTTTTCGCAGAAAATATTTTTTCAAAACATAAAACGTATTTTGCAAATACGTTTTTGCCCTAATTTTTTTCCAAATTGATTTTGTCCTAATTTTGCCCCAAATTATAATGTATTTTTGAAATACGTTTTTAAGAAAAAAACGTATTCCGAAAATACGTTTTACTGTGCAAAAACAGTAACTGTGCAGAAAAAAAATAAAAAAACACACATGTTAATCGAGATCGATTCCACAACCAAATATTAATTCCACAAGCTCATATCAATCCATTCGTCAAAGAAAGAAAAATCAACCACAATAATTTATTCAAAATACAAAGATGTCCAAATACTATTACACATAATCCACCAAAAAAAAAAAACACAAATATGTCCACAAAATTCCCCGAATACAACACAAACTAACTAGGAGTGTATCGATTCATAGGATGGCATTGTCGGTGGTTGATCCGACGTGGTGGTCATCGTGAAGAAGACGATGTTGTGGGCATGGCAGGTTCTTCTTCTTCTTCACCTGTGTAATTCATTTTTTTAAAAAATCAAAAATTCGACTTGACAAAAATCACAATAAATAAATAAATAAAATTATTTTTTTGTTAAGTAAAAAAATTTCACCTTTTTCTTCTTCCTGAGGCCCGACGTCGGCAGCGGGTTCACGGTCACGTCGTCTTCTACCTACACCAATTTTGGCAGCAGGTTGATACCTTGCCCGGTGTAACTGCATCCTCCAGGATCGGACGTAGCTCTCCTGCGATAAAACTTGGCTCGACGATGCCCCTTGTGTAACCTCTCCGCCTCCGACAGTCAGAGAACTGTAGTGAAGGCTCTTGGCTTGTCGGATTGCTGCCTGCATCTCTGGAGGGACTCTATGAAATAGGTGGTCAACACTCGATAACGTGTTATAAGCCCCCTCCATGGCGCCAGCCTGAAAATTAAATTCAAAGTAATTAGTATGAAACACACAAATAATAATAATAATAATAATAATAATAATAATAATAATAATAATAATAATAATAATAATAATAAGAGAAAAAAAAACACAAATTATGAACACTTACATCGCACTTCCCCTGCTCGGCAAGTGGCTGAAGGCCTCTGTCCGGTTGGGCCACCGTGTACTTGGCAGGGTCACCGAGTAGTCTCACAGATGTACTGTAAAACCAATCAAGGTAACCCGCCTCGGGCTCAAGGAATGGCTCCACAGGGATGACTGGGACGACATTTTGTTCTCTTTGTTCGGCCCAAGCATTCCCAAGCTCTCCATGAAACTCGACACAATCATAAACTGCCCTTCCAGTCATTCCCTACGTGCTTCGGAATGAAATTCCAATAGTCGCTGTTCTGTCTCTCGAAACTTTCGCTTAGACAACTGCGAACCCAAATCCCAACACCAATTCTGGATTTTCTTACTCATGAACCTAGTCACCACGTTGCTTCGAAGGTGTCGAAGGCAAATCCGATGATACGCAGCGGATTCTTGCCAATCTGCTAATGATTCAATGGCACTGAGTAAGCCCGCATCCCTGTCGGAAAGAATGCAGATCCGTCTCTGGAAGACTATATATTGCCGCAGATTCCTAAGGAAAAATGACCAACTGTCCATGCTTTCTTCATTAACAATCGCATACGCGATTGGCAATAGCCGCTTATTCGCAGTCTGTGCTACGGCCACAAGCAATTTTCCCTTGTACGATCCACGCAAATGTGTGCCATCGACGCTAATAACCGGTGGGCACATTTGGAAAGTTTGAATGGCGGGACCAAACGCCCAGAATACATATTTGAATTGTCTATCTCGAAGGTGTCGCGCCATTTCCCCACCCTGCCATTCCCATTGTACAACTGTGGAGGGATTCGTTCTTTGAAGCGCGGCACCTGCACATTACAAAATGGTTTCATAATAAATAGATAAACATAGTGACAGACGTTGTACAACAAATATATTTGTAATTAATTTTTTCTTACTGAGGGAGCTCTGCGAAGTTCGATTCCCAACTGCCATACACACTAGCGATGCCTTTTTGCCTTCCATGCCATGCCTTCTTGTAGCTGACATCGACTTTCCAGCACTGTTTCACATCATCCTGGATCAGGCTGACACTGTACTGCACTTTCTTTCGATCTTATTACGAATGAGATTTCAAATCATTTTAGCGGTTACATTTCTGTGGTCATTTCTCTCGACCCGTTACATACAAGTGTGTCTATCAGTCCGTTCAGTTAATTCCCACAATTCATGAAGCCGTCTAGACTTAGTCACCCGAGCCTTCCACACACAAGGCTGATCTTCATTAGATCTGCAGACTACTTTGTATGACTTCTGATTTGAATCATTTGTCTTGGTCTCCCGCAATCTATCGACGTTCCAAGCCATTAGAGCCGTTTGGGCTTCTTGCTTGCTCCTAAAAACTGTACCCAAACGTATGGTCTCAATGTCGCCATTCTACAGTGGAATAGCATACTCGTTCTCATCTATCATGGACGGCTCCCATTCACCCATCTCGCGGTATATGTGGCGACCACCACTAGGAAAGGGGTGTTCTTCTTCAATGAACTCGGCTTCACTCTCCTTATTTACCGATCTATCTGATTCGGTTTCTGGGGTCTCGTTTGTGAAATCATCTTCATTGGAAATGAAATCTTCGTCACTTTCTTCCCCGTCCTCATTTGCCGATTCTCTCATTGGCGAGCTTGTCCCTTCTCCAAAATTACGTAGATGAGAAGTCGACGTGCTCTCAACATCATCCACTCCCCCGTAATAAGGAGTAAAATCCTCAAACTGTGTAACCGGTGTAATTGCCTCCAATGATAAATGAAAATACACAATGGACATAGAAGGAAAGAAAAAAATCCACTGAAGAGCACTATCGTTATTGAGTCTTCCGGCATTCCACGAACCATCGGGTTGACGAAACATTAAAGTAATCTCCTGAATTGTCCAACCTTCTCCAAACCGACAATTTTCATTAATCATCTGTACCATTGTTCATATGATATTCTCCCCGTAATAACAAATGAACCATCCGGATGATCTATAAATGAAACAAAATCACTTAACTGTTCCTTCGCACATCGCCAATACAAATTGACAAAATATGGACCGCAATACGCCATTTATACCTGTTGCAAAAAAAAACTTTCAATTCTTCCCAATTACAACAACACATAATGTCTAATTCAACACCCAAAAAATTCAATTATTCTTTTACCATTCTATATTTAAAACCCATTTTTTTACTCCAACGAAAAAACCAAAAAAAATATTCCCAATCGAATAATCCTCCAAAACCCTAATACTCATAATCCAAAAATAACATACAATTCATCTATATTTCGAATAAATTGAAAGCCCTGATTCTAACCCTAATTTCAAAAAACCCTAAGCCCAACAACAAGCAACCAATACACAATTAACAATTTACAAGAAAAATCCAATCTTCAATTCAACATACACACATAATCGATAAACAATTAACAATTCCAATCTTCAAACACCATCACATTCAAACATACTATAACAATCCCCAATCTCCAGACAACTCCAAACAATGTCAAAAGTTAAGATAAGTCAATATACCTCGTGCGAATGAATTAACCGGAAATGAGGTTCGTGTTGTTGTTGTCGGTTCGCGCCGGGGTGGAATTGGATCGATTTTTTTTTTTTTCCGAAGGTTGACTGAGAGGCACACATGAATACGGCCTAGAACCTCAATAAACTAGCAAACTCAAAGCCAAACTAAACAAGCAGAACTCCCCACTGCAATTAAGCCTAGAGAGTCCTAACAGATACAAAAGCAGGACAAGCCCAACAACCTAAACAAAAAATCCACAACCAACTGAAACTAGAATACGTTTTACTATTAATTAATTGTAAAACGTATTTTCATTATACGTTTTACTTTTTTTTTTTTATTAAAAACGAATGATACGTTTTATTAAAACGTATTCGTTAATGAACGTTTTTTGAGTAAATTAAAAACGTATTCCGATTATACATTGTAAAAGATTTTTTTTTTAAATTAAATTATAGAAATGAAAAACGTGTTTACAAAATACGTTTTCCAAAACCATAAGTATTTTTGAAATACGGTTTCCAGTTATCATTTTTTATTCAATTCCCCTTTTTTAATCAGAAATAATTTTTTTTTTTAGTTTTACAAATATAATTAT